GCTTGGGTCAGGCGCTACCTTAGTCCTCAAGCTGACATCTCTGCTCTTCAACACTTTACGAAGTTCTTGTGCAGCAGATTTGCCTTATGTAATACGTCGTCTGATTTCTTGACTGCTGCTTCCATGAGTGTTGATCGTTGATCCCAGTTGGTGTTAGGCTTCTTACACATCTGGAGCCCAGGCACAATGAAGACAAGCACCGCCCAGCTCTGTACCAGCCTCCCAGGCTTTAGCTGTGCTTGACTCATTGTTGTAGCCACTGGATTGTTCCATCTTGTGAAAGGGCTGCCTCTTCTTTGCTGACCCTCCACCTTGGGGCATTATTGAAACCCAGTATTCAGATGCTTGTTTTAATGATTTTGATACAACTTAGATTGAAGAATGGTCATGAATTTATTAGCAGGGCATCTTTGCTCTTACTGCCTGGAGGACTGCAGTGCAGGGATGCGTGTGGGCCACGTGACCCACATTTGACCTGATCGAGTAGAGGGGCAAGAGGGCCAAGGGATGCTTGTAAGCTCATGAAGATGACATGCAGTCCCACGGTGACACAAGCTGAACCACATGGAGTTACTGTAACACTCCACAGCTTGTCAGAATCTAATGTGATGCAGGGCAGTGGTGTTCCTCATCCACACTGGGTAAGAGTGATCTGAAAAAGGTGAGTACTTGTGCCTGAGATGCTCCAGCTGACGTGGAGGATGATGCCCTAGCAATGTTGTCTGTCAGAACTCCAGTCTGGAAGGAACCAAAGTGTCCATCGGCCCAGGGTGGCTAAGGGAATTTGGTCTTTCATACAGCAGAATGCCATCAGGAGTGAGAGTGATGAGGTGTAGCTGCTGCCTGCCCCAGCCTGGGCAGAGCGTTCTGAAAGGGTGGAGATATGGAGTTCTCCCAGGAGAAGTCTTGTAATCTGCAACTAGGTACAGGATTTTTATTATTAACTCCAGAGTTCTCAGTGTTGGATATAGAGTACTTTGTGTTTGCTTCCAAGGGGTTTTGGGGTAATTGTTGAGTGCAGTTATTAAATGCTAAATAATATTGGCATGATTATTCACATTGGTTTATTAGATCTTTAAAAACCACCGTAATTGGAAGGTTTTTATCTCTCTTTTTTTTTCTTCAGGAATTCTGATGATATAGAAAGTGAATCATTTTAATCTTACAAGTCTAACCCAATTATTGCTGATTTTTTATGGTACATACATGTTCATATTTTCAAGTGTATAGTTAAAAGTTTAGTGATCTGAGGTGGTATCTCAACTTGCTTTAATTTTGGGAAGTTTGATTGTGACATGCCATGGTAATTTTCATGGGGATCTATCCTGTTTAGGGTTCATTCAGCTTCTTGTATGCTTATCGTCTTGTCTTTCATGTTAGGGAGGTTTTCTTCCAACACCTCTTAAGGACAGTTTTTTCTGTGCTTGTCTCTTCCTGTTCTGGAATTTTGATCACCCCTCAGTTGTTCCTCTTCATGGTGTCCCACATAATTTTTAGTCTTCCTTTGGATTTTTTCATTCTTTTTTTCTGATTGTTTTTCTAGTATACCAGTATCGAGAGATTTTTCTTCAAGCTCACTGATTCAGGCTTCCATTGCTTTGTATATGTTTCTTTGCCCTTTCAATATATTGTCTGTTTCTGAGATCTTTCTATTAATCTCTGGATTTCTAATGTAGGTTTGTATTGTTTCAGAATTTGTATTTATTTGCCTGCTTGTTCTAGGAGTGTTTTCCTGAATTCTAAAGTTATTTTTTCTGTGTTCTTCTTGCGTTCCTTGATCTTTTCATCAGTCCTTTGAAGGTCCCTATTATCAACATCTTGAATTCTTTTTCAGTTAGTTTTGTTACTTTTTCTTCCTCACAAACATCTTTTGGCTCTGCATCTTGGTCATCTGTTTTGAGTTATTCTCTCTTGTTTTTTCATGTGAGCTGAAATTGTTGGCTCTGGGGCATTGTGAGGTTGTCGTATTTGTAAAAACAAACAGTGGTGGGCCCAGAGGGGAGAAATCTCAGGTGGTGGGCGGTGGGGAGGCTTCTGAAATTCAAGGAACTCATGAGCTGGTTGTGGAAGGTATGTGACAACAGAGTTCCTCGCCCGAGATGGAGTTTCTGCTGGTCTCGGTGTTATCTATATTGAGGGCACTCAGTCTACAAGTAGTCTGTGGGGACCCTCGATGGAGCTGATTTCAGTGCCTGGTAGGACCACAGGGAAGCTGTGTGTGAGACCAGTCAGATCCTAGCCTGGTGGCTTGTCGAGTTCTATAGGTCTGGAGCCAAGCCCACCTAAATCCGGGCACCACAACAGTACACCAGGTGGTGCAGCTGGCCCCTAATCATGCTTCTCCGAACTCCCAGAGAGCAGTGTCTGCTCTGGGGGTGGATGTAAGTGGGACCTGGTCCCACTTCCGGTCACCAGGGATCATGGGAACAAAGAGAAAGTTCCATCTTTTCGTCCCATCTTTTCCGACATCTGCTCGAATGTCCAGCTTCCCTCTGCTTGCCAAAGCTGCATACAAGATGGTCAAGCTGCATACAAGATGGTCAAGCTGCGTCGGGACAGCTGTTCACCATTCAGTGTCCCACACTCGCCGTTCCTGCTCAACCTCTCCTCCTAACAAGTACTCCATCCACCTCTTTAACTTTCTTCTGAAGTTCATAGTGCCAGAATTTTTATCTATGTCTGTTTTATTTTGAATCTTGTTGTAAAGGGTCCATGTAGTGCATCTGACTAGTCCGCCATCTTGCCAGAAGCCTAATATGCTTTAGAAAGAAGGTATCATGTGTTTTTTTGTTTCTTAGTTTAGGTTTCCTCTCAGTTGTCATTGTATTATTATGTGCTATCAACTGATTCTGACTCATCACAATCCTCTAGGACAGAGAACTGCCCATAGAGCTTCTGAGGCTGTACATCTTTATGGGAGCAGACTGCCTTATCTTTCTCTTATGGAGCAACTGGTGGGTTCAAACTACTGACCTTTCAGTTAGCAGCCAACCACTTAATCACGGTGCGATCAAAGCTCTTTGGTCACTGTCGTCGTTCGGTACTGTCAAGTTTGTTCCAGCTGCTAGTGAGCGTATGGAGTAGAAATGCTCCATAGGGTTTCCACGGCTTTCATCTTTACAGAAGCAGATGGCCACTTCCTCCTCCTGTGGAGCAGCTAGTGGGTTTGAACCGCTGACATTTTGGTTAGCAGCCCAATGCTTAACCATTGCCCCACGAGGGTGTCTTTGCCATTGCCATTGCAAAAATTGTACTTGGTTGCTTTTAGGAATCTTGAGTTAAGAGAGACCGTATAAGTTATCTCAGGCCCTAGTTCTGCTGAGATCCTTAGGAAGGTGGGCACCCCGCTTTCTTCCTGACCCTCTCTGTCCTTTTGTTGACAGCACCTAGCCTTACAAAGTGGCCTTTGCCTTTGTTGGAAGGTTCCGGTCATGGTAACACCTGTGCATTTATTTGTCAGTTTCAATTGGACTGCCAGCTACTCCGGGTCGGAATTCTTGCCTTCAGAGAAACAGTTCATGTGGTCCATGTCCTAAGTGGCCTTTCCTGTGGTCACAGGTCTTTCCTTTAGTTGATCTTTTTCTTGGTGTAGTTCTAAACTCTTTGAAGTTACATTCTAGTTTCTATGGATAAATTCTGCTTTGGCACTCAGAATGATATTTCTATTATAGAATAACACTTTTTTTCTTATGAAAAAATTTCCCTTAGACTAGATGGTTTGTAATGTAAAATCAAATGTACATATGAAAGTCAACAGTGTCTTTCCCAATTAATTACTTGTGAAGATAGTGAAGATAAAAACTGTTCTGCTAACCAAAAATAAGTATCAGCTATGTGAGTCCTGGTGTGGTGCTGCGGATTAATGCGCTGGACTGCAAGGTAGGTTTGAACCACAAGGTTGGCGATTCAGCTGCACCAGCCGCGCCCTGGAAACCTTAACAGGGTTGCTATGAGTCAGAACCGACTCTATGGCACTCAGCAATTGACAAGGTAGCACTGCTAACTGAACCTAGCAGCCACGTCTTGGGAGTAAGCTGAGGCCCTCTGCTTCCATTAAGCTTTACAACCTCATAAAACCCCATGGGGCTGTGCTACACTTAGAATCCACTGGCCAGCAGCAGCTTGGTTGGCTTGTTTTATTGACAGGGTGCCTGGAGGAGTTTGCACGCATGCAGACATGGCTCAGTTCAGAGAGGGAGACTTCCTCCGTGCCCTCTGAGGGGCAGATATTTTAATGAAAGTGGAAACAGCACATTTCCCAGGACCATTGCTTCAAAGCCGGCCACTTGCCCGCTATATTTTTGTGGAGTCTGGGTTGCAGATACGATGTGTGAGTTGTGAGTGTGGTTCTTCTCTGCTCCCTATTCAGTTCTTTGGGTCTGTCTGACTTAATTATAGTGAGCTTGGAAGTGGAGCTCTCCAACTTTGTTGTTCTTGTTTTTAAATTTTTGTTATGATTTTGATGAAAGTTCACAGAGTAGAATGACTTTCATTTAACAATTCATACACATTTTGATTTATGACATGGATTGTCAGTGTGACGTCACAGCCTGTGTCCTCCCTGTAGTTCTTGTTTCCATGTATCTTTCCTATCACTTCCTGCCTTCTCAGCTTTATTCCTCAGTAACTGCTGTCCTTTCAGTGTTAGATAACTGCTCTAAGGAGCAGGTACCTCCCTTTCAGGCCTGTCTATCATTTGGCTGGAAGTTGGGCCACCGGGGATGAGTTCAGTTCCAGGTTTCATTGGTGACTCAGGGGTCCCCCCAAGTCTCTATCTGAGCAGTAAACCTGGTCTCTTTTATGATTTTGAGTTTTGTTCCTCATTACCCTCCTCTTCTATCTAGGACTTCCCTACGAATCTTATTCCTTTTAGAGTGGTCGGTAGTGGTAGGTGAACACCACCTAGTTCTGGCGTTAAGGTTGGGGAGGCTCCAACTTTCTTTGTCTTTTCCAAGATCTTTTCTTGTGCATCACTAGTTGGCTACTAAGCCTGCCCAATGATATTTTGATTTCAGATATTCTGTTTTCCAGTTCTAGAATCTTATTTTATTTTTTTTAATAGCATATATATATTTTTTTCTATTGAGATCTACTCCCTTCATTACAACTTTTTTGTTGTTTTTATGCCCATGGATATAATTATTTGTATGTCTTTAACTTAATGTTCTTGTCTGCTAATTCCAGTTTGACTCATCTTCAGGTTGCTGTCTGTTGAATGTGCATCGTGTTTGATGGTCTTGTTCTTTGTATTCTGGGTGAGTCTTGAATTGGGTTGTAGACACTGTGAATGATTTGCTGTAGAGACTTGGGATTCTGTTATGTTCTTCTAAAGAGTAGGGACTGTTTTGCTTTAGCAGTTTGTTAAGGGGATGGAGCTGAGTTCTTGACCTTGCCCAGAGAATGCCCCTGCAGGCCCAGTTTCAGAGTCAGCTGGAGAGCATCCTGCTTAGTTCCCTTCTCCTCCCAAGTGCCGAGTCCCTGCCTCTGTCTGCCAACCTTTCAGTATTTTCCTCTGTGCCTTCTAGAGATTATGGTTCTCTGCAGTATGCTTGATAGGAAGTAGTTGGCCATTCATTACTGGAAGCAGAATCCTTATCAATTAAATAAAAATGAGTATTTTTAAAAAATTTTTTTATTGTGAATCGGGTGAAAGTGTAAAGAGCACATTGGTTTTCCATTCAGCAGTTCATACACATTTTATTTCCTGTGATTGCTTGCAAAGCTCCACACTGTAACATTCTCCATCCGCTTCCTCTGTGGGCTTCTCGCTGCCACTTGTCCTGTCCTGTCTCTTTCCACTTTCTGAACTTTGTCTCTGGGCAGGTGCTGCCTTTTGATCTGGTATGGTTGATTGTTCTAAGGAGTGCTTACCTACCTGGTGTTATCGTTCACTTTGTACGTCTGTTGTTCGCCTGAAAGTTAAGCTACAGGGGTGAGATCAGTTCCAGGCCTGATTAATTGAAAAATAACTTCTTTTGACCGTGTAATATGTGTTTATTATAGAACATGTGGGAAATTCAGAAAACCATGCAAGATACCCCAAGAACTGCCCCCACGATAACTACTACTAACACACTGGGGCCTGTCCCTCAATGAATTTGTATTCTCCCCTGTAGACCCTTCCATCCCTGTCAACCCTGGTAGGGTGCTGTCGTGTGGAACACACTTGTTTTCTAGCTGACTTCCTTTTCAGACATTTGCCCTTCCCCCAGTGGTGACTAGTCTGTAGCAGGTTTGCAGTAACTCTGTTCAGGCATCTGTAGGGTCTACGTTTTCCTCAGGGGAGATGTAGTCAGATCATTGCATGATAACGTTGGAGGTAGTGACTGTCAGGAACAACCGTCCCCAGCATTTGCTGTGAATGTCAGGGTGGCTGGTGCACACAAGTGTAGAAGGCACAGATGCAGGCTTAGGTCTGCAAGGCCCCAGACTTGTTGGTGGCCTTTTGTTTGAGCAGTAGTTCAAGTAAAACATAACCCGTATTACCTTTCACAGACCTATGTGTCAAGGAGAGTGCTAACTGCAAAGAGGACCCCACATGGAGGTCCCAGGTTAGCTTATCACTGACGGGGGCACTAGGTCCGTTCAGCGTGCTGTGCAGTCTGTGTGCTGTTCTGGGTGTGAAAGCCTCCGCGGGCCGAGCCTGCTGCTCCCGCATGGACCCTCTGCTCTTACTCCATGTGCATAGCCAGGGGTCTCGGAGGGACTCTGGATCTGCACTCACTTGAAATCCCACTGAAAGCCAGAATCGTAGACTCTTTGCAAGGTCTTTCTTGTTCCTCCACAGGTAAGTTAGACTTCTAACTCTCTAGTATGTGTAAGGAGACATTAGGTTTGTGTTTCAACTTGACCTTGTTCAGATCACATTTTGTTACTTGAGGAGAATGAGGTACGTATTTTGGATAATGATGATAGTCTCAGTCTTGATTTGTTTTTGTAACATATGTCAAGTCTCAAGCCTCGCTTTTCTGTCTTCCCCACAGCAAACACTCACAGGGAGCCTGGTGGCTGCGGCGGGCAGCGCGCTAGAAGTGGACCCCTTCCAGAGGCAGCAGTCATTGCCTCTGTCAGCAGGTATGTCCTGGCCAGATAGCCATGGCCTCAGGGGTCCTAGTCCATGAGCTCCAGGGAACTGATTTTGGGTGAATTTCTCTCCACTCTGAGAGTTTTTCCTGTGGGGATTCCAGCTGGACAGATTGTCTGTGAGTGTGTGAGTCGTGTTTGCGTAGGTGTGTCCCCTGCTGATCCATGTGTGTGTACACAGGGTTCCTGGGAGATCAGCCACTTGGCAAAGCAGGCTTTCTTTTCCTTACTGATTTTCCCTTCAGATCAGAAGCACATCAGTAAGTATAAGTGAGATCTACGTCTAAGTTGAAATGACTTGCCCAGTCCCTGACACAGACCACCATCAATGTACTGTGTATTCTTGCAGACCTTTTTCTGTACACAGGCATTGCTGTCTTTATAAGTATTCAAGTGTTGTGATTTTTTTTTTACTTAATAGGGGAGCTTGGAGGTGTTTCCACGTCATACTTTCTCGTTGTTTTAGACAACCACACGGTCTGTCATGTGGATGGTGTGCCACGTGTTCAGTTGATCACACCCATGTGCACTTGGATTTGTTCTTACTGCCCCTCTTTTCAGTGTAATCAACAAAGGACTGAACACCTAGCCTCCTGTTTTCCTGTACAGTTGTCAGTCTGTCCAGAGGAAACGTCCGTAGAAATGAATGGGTGCTGAAGTGTTGATGTTGTCCCTCCCATACAGGGCAGGTCTCCCTGTTCATTTACTCTGGTTCTTTCACGTGTTCGACGTTTCATTTAGTATGACCAGCCTCTTTCCCCCTGCCGGTCTTGTTTCGATTTGGACCTAATTTTGGGTAAAGGAACCCTGATGATGCAGTGGTTAAGCACTTGACTGCTAACTGACAAGTCAGTGGTTTGAACCCACCAGCTGCTCCTGAGGAGAAAGATGAGTTGTCTGCTTCTGTAAAGATGTACGGTTTCAGAAACCCTGTGGAACCGTTCTGCTGTCTGACAGGATCCCTGTTGGAACTGATAGGGCTTGGTTCTGTTGAGTAACGGTGCACACTGTCTTTTCATGTTAATTAACCACTTGTGCATCTGCTCCTCTCGCCTTGTTGTCCATGATACTTTGCCTGTTTTTTTCACTCTGGTTGTGGATCTTTTCCTCATTAAATGTAAGAGCTTTCTGAGTGCTAACTGTCGTTATCAGTACTATATAACTTTCTGAGTACTAAGTGACAAACTTAAGAAAGTTTGTGGGAAAATGTCATTATCTTTTATTTCAATTTTTTCATGAACTTTTTGCATTGCCCTCATATATTAGCCTTTGTCAGTTGAGTGTGTGGCAACTATCTGTCTCAGGTTGCTGCTTGTCTTTTGTACTCATATGCCACTCTTTTTAGTAGTATATGCTTACCGTTCTTACCTTTCATGATAGTTACGTGCCATGGAGTCCATTCCGACTCATAGAGACCCTGTACAGGGTTTCCGAGGCTGTAAATCTTCATGGGAGCAAAACGCCTCATCTTTCTCCTGTGGAACAGCCGGTAGTTTCCAACTGCTGACCCTGCGGTTCCCAGCCCAATTCGGAGCCACTACACTACGTATCATAATAGCATTTGGATTTTGGTTCATGTGTAGAACAGCTTCCCTTTTCAGAAACACATGCACATGTTTTCTTTCTGCTGTTGCTGCTGTTATGTCATAGTCACCCTGTATACACTGCTGAGGAGCAGCTGGTGGATTTGAACTGCCAACCTTAGCAGTCCAGAGCTATCCTACAGCACCATACCAGGACTCCTTCTTTTTTTTTTTTTTTTGTAATAATTATTCTAGATCAATCTAAGAGACCTCGACTAGAAGTGGGTCACCAAGGGGTAGTGTTCCAGCACCCAGGGGTGAGCCCCGGCGTTCCTCTCCAGCAGTTAATGCCGACAGCACAAGGTAAGCTCTGCTGGTGTGTGGCTTCTGTGTCAAGGCGGCTTTCTCATGGCAGAGGGCTGAAGAGCCCCGCAGGCCCTCTGGTAACTGTAGTGGACCACACGGCTCCTCGCCGCTCTGCTCTGCTCTGCCCTGAGCTGTTTTGCACTCTGTCTGTGGGGCACTCATTCCCCAGCCCTGCGTGTACTGTCCCATTCTCACCAGAGGGACGGACTTCTAGGGGACGGGCCCCTTGTAACTCACTGGCTGGACCACTTGTGGATGTCCAAGTCAGTGTCATTGGGGTTTTGTTTGGGTTTGCAGGAGGGATGCCCCCCGCTCCACAGGCCACACAGCTCGTCGGGCAGAAGCAGAGTCAGCAGCAATACGACCCTACTACGGGGCCACCCGTGCAGAATGCTGCCAGCCTGCATACCCCGCCACCACAGCTTCCCACCAGGCTGCCTCCAGCCGGCGCCTCAGCCACGGCAGCGCCCTCTGCGATACCATTTTCTCAGCCGCCACCTCTGGTAGAACCACCTACCCAGCTCCAGATCCCTGTGAAGGCTCAGCAAGCTCCCGTGCCCATCTCTGTGCCCCTGTCCAGCCAGTTCCCGGCTCCCCTGCAGCAGCCAGTCCAGCCCACGCTCCACGTCCCAATGCCTGGGAAGGCCCACCTTCAGGTGCCTCAGCTCCCCGTCCAGCCCCAGGTACACCCGGACATTGTTCTGTGCTGTCGCAGGACTGGACAGGTTTGGTGCCACACCACAGTCTTAGCAGTTACTCGCCTACTTCACAACACAGTCACATGGTAGATAAAGGGCAGTGCCACCGCACCCTTTGCCTCTGTAATTATGCAAGGGGTCTTCAGAAAGTTCATGGATAATGCAATTTAAAGATCATGGAACTTTTCCATAAATGTTTTGAAGCTCCTATGTAGTTATGTTGCTAAGTAATAGAAACAGATCGAATACTGTTTAGAGCATGGTGCAGGGCGTCCATGTGTATGCTGGGCCATTGTCTCTGTTATCCGGTGACTCGGGCAGGCACTGAGTAAGCAAGGCCTAGTGTCAGGATCTGACTGCACTCCTCCCCAAGGTGGGCACCTGCCCTGGGCCTTTTTTTTTTTTTGATTGTTCGCTCACCACACACCTGAGAGGGCCTTTCTTCTTGGACGTGGTAGCCAGCACAGGTATTCGCAGTGCCCTCCTTCTCGGCTCCGTTTCCTCAGATGCATGCACGTTCTAAAGTGTTTATAGTGACCGTCCTCAGTTCCTAAAGATGACTGGGGCCGAAGGGGGCAGGAGTTAGGCTGGAGCTCTGATGCCTGGTGACTTTCTCCTAAGGGCTATCAGGTCCAGTCCTTCCCCTCCCCCACCTCAGTTCTCCCTATGGGCAGGTCGTCAGGGTCCCACTGGAAGGTAGAATCTTTCTCTCTCTCTCTGAGACACACACACACACACACACACACACACACACACACACACACACACACACACACATTGAAGAGGAGAGCCTCTGAGGCCAGATGGTACAGCAGCATGGCAGGGTCCTGCTGCTAGTGAGTGGGGGTACCTGAATTTGACCCCAGAGTGGTTCCCCAGCCGTCTCCCAAGTATTCCCGCCCTGAGAATGACAGTGCCTCCCTGGAGGACAGTGTGTATTTCTGGGCTGTGGCCGTCTTTAGGGTCTGGTAGAAGGGAATCTCTTTTCAACACATTCTCTCCTTGATCCACATACTGCTTAATAGTAGCCTGGTGACTTTTCCTAATAGTAGTTTTATTTACCTGTGGTGTTTTATTTACCTGTAGTGATTTATTTACCTGTAGTGATTTATTTACCTGTGGTGTTTTATTTACCTGTAGTGATTTAT